GAAAAGTGCAGATACCGGTTCGGCTCCACGGTATAAATGCGTACCGATGAAGTATCCCGGAAAATTATAATAAGAGTGGAAATATTCCTAGAATAATATGTAGGACTAGTAAACCAAGTTTCAAGTCAAAATAATGAGAACTGGTGTCTGAACTGATACCGGCTTGGTAAAAGCGCGTACCGGAAAGGTGCTGCGAAAAATAAAATAAAAATATAAAAAATCCTAGAAAAATGAGTAGGTTCAGAATCCTAAGTTTGGGGTTAAAATGCTAAGCGTAACTATTAGTGCTAATACTGTGCGATTAAAGCTTAAATGAGCTATAAATACTCATTTTGCACAAAACCCTAGGTATTTTTCTATTGCTACGTGACTTTGGTGGCTGACCATTGCTTGGTCAAACCGAGAGCTGCTCGGGAATATCTTTTCAGAGAGCAAGAGTGCAGAGTAATAATCAGGATTGCCAACAGGAGCAATCTACTCTGACTAAGAGCAACCCTCTTCAACTATACGCAAGCGTACGTGTCAAGCAATATAGGGTACTGTAGCCCAGATTTATCGTCCTCAGGGAGCAGTTGTGAAGTAAGAAGCGCTAAAGGAAACTTAATTTGTAAAATGGAGCAATAAAAGAAAGTACTATTCTCAGCTAAGCTTCACAAAGAGCAATCTCTGGGCAGCTAGTTAAACAATGTTAACCATTCTGAACCAGATGAGAGCAGTGAATGACTTAGCACGGTCATCGAATAAAAAGGCATCAATTTAAGTAACTTCAAGATCAGTCAACGAAATGAAAGTAAGAGCATCAGCTGGTAAAACACAGTTCAGTAATCGTGAGAAAAAGGTTGTGATAGAAGTTTGAGTTAAGATTAATTTCAGAAAAAGTCAAGTAGGTGTTACGGGTTCCATGTTTTCATCCCTTTGGTTAACCCTGCTTGGTAGCATATTTTACAAGTGGATTTTGCTCATTCCCTTGTTTTGCTATAGGTAAGCAGAGGGTAAGGCCTTACTCTCCACGTTACTCCATAGTACTTGGAGTTACATGCAAGGAAACCATGCTGCCTTCTCAAAAGAGCATGGATTCACATGGCAGTGCTCCCCATTCCAAGTGTTTCTCCCTCCTTTCTTCAGGCTAAACTACCCCAGGATCTTGAGAATGCTCCACACGCCCTTGTCAGTGTTTCATCAACCGAGTGGTCCCGGGATGAGGTTGCCAGCCCAAAGGGTTTCACAAAATCAATAAATTAAACCAAAGAGCAACTCAAAATTCATTTATAAAATATGTGTTCCTTACAAAGTTATCCTGAGACAAAAGGGATTACTTCTATGGAACCCTCACCTACTTAGAGGAAGTTAGCTCCTAGTGAGCATTTTTACAAAAAGAAAACAAAGAGATGACGAGTCCTAGGATGGGCGCTGATGATTTCCTTTATGAGGATTGCTTGTTCCTTTTATAGGGTTCTTCATTTGATCTTCATTGTTCCTTTCATCAAGGGTCGTGCTTTGTTTAAATCCTCTCCAATGGTAGCTTTGCTTCTTGCCAGCTCAGCTCCGAATAGAAATCCTCTCCAATGGTAGCCTTGCTTTTTGCCAGCTTGGCCTTAAATGGAAGTGGTCCCCCTTGCTTTTGGCTCCCTTTGTGAGTGGGAGTATCGGATTCAGGGAGGCACCTCCACTTCTTCTGCTGCAGCTGACGTGGCGGCTTTTGATTGCTCAGCTTCTTTGCTTTCGTACTGTAGCAGAGGTAGCACCTCCACCTTCTCTGTTGTGGCTGACGTGGCGGCTTCCCATTGCTTCCTTTGACTGTTGTTGTACTACAGCAGCCTTTTTTTTTTCTTTCTGCGCAACACTCCTTCTTCTCTCTTCATTTTGTGGTTCCTTCTGATGGGCCTTAGGTGTCCTGAACAAAGCAAACTAACCCAATAGTCATATGTGAAAAAGATAATGTTAAATTTGCTCCAGGTCTACCTTAACTCCCACTTTCGGTATTGCTCTGGTCCACTATTCAAAATAGTTGCTCTATATGGAAAGAAGAAGGTTGAAGGGAGTGATTTATAACCAAAACATGGGTTTTGTGGAACAATTTACACTTAATGGGCCTCAACTCTTGAGGACCATCAACACACCAAAACTAGATATTACTCGTCCCGAGTAATCCTTCACAACCAACAGTCTTCTTGTGGCAGGCTAATGCTCCTTGAGATTATCGATGAAGAGTTAACTTAACTCCTTTCATCGCTTCATTAGAGCACTCATCTGACTTGTGAGTTTCACCAGCTTCATTGTGTGTGTGACCTCTTCCACTCTTTTAGTCAGTTTCCCACAGAGTTGCTTCCGGATTGAACTTTTTGGCTTGATTTCTTCTGTTACTTCTTAGCTCCCTTCTCTATTTCTTTCTTTTCAGGTCTTTTAACTGGAAGTCAATTACCCTTGTCTTTGCATAAGGCTGACCTTCAACAGCATGCTCTTTGAGCGAAATTTTTGGAGCAGAGGAGCTGACCCTTCTTTTTTTTTTTTTTTAAACCAGGGGCAGAGTAATTTATTTAAACAACCTGAAGTTCTTTCCTTGGTAACTCAATAAGTCCACTGAATAACAGAGTGTCCGATTTTTGGAGTGCTGTTTTTTGTGCATGGTGTTGCTCCAAATCAGAGTGATGCCCTATGTTGCTTTGTTAGAAACTGTAAACTCTTTAGGGCATCTCAAGGAGCAAAATCCTGGGCAAAAAGAATCATTGAGTAGATCAGGACACTTAGGACGGTAAACTTAGCAAAAATTAAAAACAATATTTTTATAAAAAAGTAAAACAGGGTGGCGAATCCCTGGTACACCACATAAGTCATTTATCTAAGAGCAAAGTCAGTAACATTCCACCACAAAACTTTCAGGCATTCATTCCAACATATTTAAACAAGTTAAAAAGGATAGGGAACGAATGAACCTGGGGTCACCGTAGCGACCCTTAATTCTCTCCAGTTTCTTGTCTTGCTCCACTAAACGGAGCATTTGTTATTGCTTCTGGAGGGAAGACATTTGAAGATTTGATCCCGAGCTCTGTAGTACAATCGGAGTTGAATTTCCTCCTCTTTGTTCTTCATCAATTCATCTTTCAAGAGCCCGATCTCCTCCTTCCAGTCTTTTCTGTTTTTTTCGTGGGCTTGCTCCCTTTCTTCCATTTTCTTGTTCATCATCTCTACTGCTTTCACCAGGTCTTTCACCGTGTTTTGCAAGGTTGAGGATCCTTCTCCTTCCTCAATCTTCCTTTTCAGAGGCAGTGGTCCAGCATTTTTTATCTGGTCAAGTTCATTCTGCAGGGCCACCTTTTCTTTGTTAATGAGCAAGCTGGCTTCTTTCAGAGATTGCAGCTCCCTTCCAACTGTGTCTTCTAAGGCTTGCACTTGAGTGGCTAGAAGGTCTGCTCCGAGACCGAACATAGTTTGACATTGAGTCATGTCAGTTGTCTCGACTAGGAACTGCCTTCGTCCACTCTTTGCAGGAGCTCTCTTAAAGGGAAGTTTTTCCCTTCTTGGAGTTTTCTGAGGTTCTTCCTTCACATTGCCCGAAACTTCAGCTTCTTCTTCTTCCTCCTTTCCTTCTTTTTCTTCTTTCTCTTCTTTTTCTTCTTCCTCCTCACTTTCCAATCCTTCATTGTCTCTGATTCTTTTTATCGTGGACTGATCAATGTCCGACCTTTCTGGAATGATTTCATCCGAAATCGGGATATTGGCCTTTAGACCAGACCTCTTGCACATTTCAGTGACCAGACAAGGGAAAAAGAAGGGGGAGTTTCTTGGTGCATTTGCCACCAGTTGTTTGTAAACAATCCTCCCAACATCAAACTTCTTCTTAGTCAAGATGCAGAAGACCAGCACTGCTCTTTCCCAGTTTACTCTAGAGTCATTGCTCACGGGAATCAGACGGGAGTTAATAAAATGCATCCATACCTTTGCTTCGAATTTGAGTTGCTTCCTAGGGATGGATTCCTTGGTTCCCCAGGTTGCTCCTTCTGAGCCTATTTCTCGGAGCACTTCTCCAGTTATGGCCTCATCTCCTCGGCCAGCACAGTATCTATCGAACTCATCTTGTTCAGCAGGAACTGAAGCAGTGTTGTATGCTTCGTTGATTTCTTCAGGGGAGAAGTCTACTTTCACGCCTCTGATGAGGAGTTTTGGGAGATCTTCTTTCTTCATCCCCTCCAAGAATGCAGTCACGAACTCGGTGCGAGCTCTTGAGGGAGGCTCAACGAAGAGTTCCCAATCCAGTTCTGCTATATCCTCGGTCAGCCATCGGTCGAGATCTCCGTGTTTGGAGCTACTGAGGACTATGCCCCGTTCTGGTATGACTGTGCGGTCGACTGTGGTTTGCTCAGGCTTGAGCTTTTTCCCTGTTCGGGTCCTCTTCTTGGAGATAGAAGCAACAGGTATAATGGCCTTTGGACGTGTCATGGTGTAAGGTTGTAAAGGTTGGATTTTTGTGGGTTGAAGGAGAAAGGATTATGAGACTGAAATAATAGTTCTGTGTTTGTTTATAAAGGAACGAAGGAGAAGGTTATGGGTGGTGATCGTGGTTAAAACGCTCTGTATGGTGGTGATCGTGGCTTTTGGAGGGATGTGACTGATATGTCCAAGGTCCAATATGGAAAGAATTTCAGAGTGGAGCTGTTATCCTTCCGTTGCTTCCGCCACTCGGTTTTCTCTCTCTCTCTTTTTTCGCATGCGGCCCATTGCAGGCCCTTGGGTTAAAAGGGGCAAGTGGATCAGCCCAATTAGAACTTGGTTTCAACATTGAGGGATCAAATTCTAAGTGTTGGTTGCTCCTTGCTTTTGGGATCAGGTTGCTCAAGAGCAACCCCAAAACTAGCTTCCTGCAATGGTTAGCACATTAATTTTCTCAAACAAAGACAATAATAAAAAGAATGACGTAGAAATAAATCTGGGTTGTCTCCCAGTAGCGCTTCGTTTATAGTCTTAGCTCGACTTGTTGCTCCTTGGGTCAGACTTCAGCTGGGTCAGACTTCAGCTGGGTCATCGAGATGAGAAGTCAGTCTCTCATGCTCCTTGATCCCTCTATTATACTTTTTGAGTCTGTGTCCATTTACCCTGAGCGTTGCTCCAGATGTTTCATGAGCAATGGTAAATGCTCCATTGGGAAGTGCTTCAGTGATTGCATAAGGTCCCTCCCATCTTGATTTCAACTTTCCAGGAAACAGTTTCAATCTGGATCGATACAGCAGCACTTTGTCTCCAACTTCTAACTCTCTCTTGATAAGCTTTTTATCGTGCCACTTTTTCATCTGCTCCTTGTAGAGGTTGGCGTTTTCATATGCCTTGCTCCGGAATTCTTCCAGTTCAACCAACTGGAGCAACCTCTTTTCCCCAGCCATTCTGGAATCCATGTTTAGCAATGTGATGGCCCAGAATGCTTTGTGTTGAAGTTCCAGAGGCAAGTGACACGCTTTTCCAAACACCAACTTATAGGGGGAGCAGCCAATGGGCGTTCGATAAGCTGTTCGATACGCCCATAGGGAATCATCCAATTTGTTGGACCAATCTTTTCTATCTGGGTTTACGACCTTTTCCAGGATTTTTTTTATCTCCCTGTTGGACACCTCTACCTGCCCGCTGGTCTGTGGGTGGTAAGGGGTGGCAATTTTGTGCTGCACTCCATATTTCTTCAGGAGCAATTGGAATTGTTTGTTCACGAAATGTGTACCCCCGTCGCTGATAATTGCTCTAGGGGTTCCAAATCGAGTGAAAATATTCTTCTTGATGAACTTCAGCACTATCCTGGCATCATTGGTGGGGGTAGCAACAGCTTCTACCCATTTCGACACATAGTCAACTGCAACAAGTATATACTTGTTTCCAAAGGAAGGTGGGAAAGGCCCCATGAAATCAATGCCCCATACATCGAACAATTCAACCTCCATTATTGGAACAAGGGGCATTTCATGCTTTCTTGTAATGTTCCCTGTTCTCTGGCACCTGTCACATTTTTTAACAAAAACATTAGCATCTTTAAACAAGGAGGGCCAGTATAGACCTGACTGCAGCACTTTAGCTGCTGTTCTTGCTCCAGCAAAGTGTCCTCCATAAGGGGAGTTGTGGCATTGCTCCAGTATTTTCTGTTGTTCTCCTTCAGGGATACACCTTCGAAGTAATTGGTCAGAACACCTTTTGTAGAGCAAAGGGTCGTCCCAGAAATACTGCTTAGCTTCATGATGGAACCTCTTTCTCCCTTGGTGATTCAAGTGGTATGGCTCTATTCCGGCAGCCAGGTAGTTTGCAATATCTGCAAACCAAGGAGCTTGTTTTTCAGAGATCATCAGAAGCTGCTCATCAGGGAATGTCTCCTTGATATGATCTCCTTCTTGTGGGCTTGCCCTCTCTAATCGAGATAGGTGGTCAGCCACCTTGTTATCACTTCCTCTCCGGTCCTTGATCTCAAGGTCAAATTCTTGGAGCAACAGTACCCATCTAATTAGTCTTGGCTTGGCATCCTTCTTAGCAAAGAGTTGCTTGATTGCTGAATGATCAGTGAATACTGTGACTTTGGAGCATATTAGATATGAACGAAACTTGTCACATGCAAATACAACTGCCAGCATCTCCTTCTCCGTCACTGTGTAGTTGGCTTGTGCCGGAGTAAGAGTTCTACTAGCGTAGTAAACAGTTCTGAAGACTTTGTCTTTTCGCTGCCCAAGAACTGCTCCCAAGCCGAAATCGCTGGCGTCACACATTAGTTCAAAAGGAAGACTCCAATCTGGGCTTTGAATGATGGGTGCGGACACCAGCCTCGACTTGAGCTCCAGGAAGGCTGTCAAACATTTTTCATCAAAATTGAACTTCCTGTCTTGCTCCAGAAGTTCACAAAGTGGTTTGGCGATTTTGGAGAAGTCTTTAATGAAACGTCTGTAGAACCCAGCATGTCCCAAGAAGCTTCTGATCCCTTTTACTGTGGTAGGGGGAGGTAGCTTCTCAATTGCTTCCACCTTAGCCTTGTCCACCTCGAGGCCCTTGCTTGAGATTT